GTTCCTTCCTGTTTTATTGTTTAAAAGGCATAAACATAATTCTGCAGTAATAAAGGTGGAATTTAGATTCTAAAGTTCAGATCTGCCTCCTTCAGATGCTGTGGGCATTTTGTGGCTTTAACTTATCAATAGCACAAATATTATTAATGATATAAACTAAACTATTATAAAGTAAAATTAGGCAATTCATTACCTAGTTGGAATAATGTTTGGTATCCTTAATTAAAGTAACATTAACATTTATTATTATTACAGCTATTTTTTTTTCTGATCTACCCCATACTCATATCATTCATACAGACTTTTGATTATTTAAATGAAGGTTGTCATGAAATATGAAAAAAAAATCCAGATGTTTTCAAATTTTAAAAAGGAATAGAAAAGATATATTGGCTTTCCTTTTGTGTGTATTATTTTAATTACTTATCACAATAACCTGAAGCCTCAGTTATTATATCCCTATGTGGATGAGGCTTCTGATACTCAAAGAGGTTAAGTGGTTCATTGAAGGTAACAATGACTAAAAAGAAGTAACAAAGTTAAATCCAAGGCTTTAAAGTCCAAGAGTTACTTTTAAGTCTTCTTACTCACATCTAATCTTTTTCCTCCATTTTTATAATTGCTTGACACCTTGACATTTCAGGATATCTTAAGATATTATGATGTAACAAACTTCTCATTCTCCAGCTCTAATTTTACCTTTTGCTCAAAATTTTAGATCAGGTGATTTAAGAACCAGAGAGTTCCAAGGACTGTACAATGGGCAGCATGATACAACCTGTAGTTTGTAATCTAAGTCTATTGTAGAAGAGAACAATAAGGAGAGATTAATTTATTTAATCACAAATTTATTGTGCATATCCTCTATAATAGACATTTTTCTAGGAGTTTGGGTATTGGTGATCACAAGAGACAAAACAACTTACTCTCTTGGAGCTTACTTGTAGTAGGAGGCACAGAAAATAAGCAAGAAAAATTAATGACATATATAGTTTAGATAAGCAATAAGGAGAAAATAATGCAAGAAAAGCAATTGAGAGAGTCAGAATGAGGAAAAGGTGTTTGTGATTTAAGATGGGGTGACTCAGAAAAACCCTTTGTGAGAAGGTGACATTTAAATGAAGGACAAAATGAAGAGAGCAAGTCAGCCATGTAGGTATCTTCTGGAAGAGCATTCCAGGCCAAGGGAATATCAGATGCAAAGACCCGTGGGGCCGAATGTCTCTGACATATTCAAAGAACAGAGTAGCTAACTTGGGTGGAGTGAACCAAATGAGGGAGTGAACAGGAAATGATGTTGCCTGGGCGCAGATCTTACAGGACAGTGTAGGCCTTTGTAAAGACTTTGGTTTTTATTTTCCTTGAGATAGGAGCCATTGGAAACTTTGATCAGAGGGGTGATGTTCTCTGACTTATATTTAAAAAGAATCTCTCCACTCTGCTGAATGTAGAGGGAAGAAGAATTAGGGTCAAAATAGGGAGATCAATTAGGAAACTAGTCAAAAATAATCAGGTGGTTCCAACCAAGTTGGTGCAGTTGAAGTGCTGAGAAGCTGTCATATTTAGAAGGCAGGTAGGACTACAGAATTGCCTGGTGGATCAAATGTAGTGTGTGAAAGTAATAGAGGAATCAATAGGACTCCAAAGTTTTTGTCCAGAACACCAAAGAATGGAGTCATTATTTACTGAAATGGGGAAAACAGAGGTAAGAGCAGGTTTTGGGGGAGGACAGGACCAAACATGGTGAGATCAGAAGCTTAGTTTTGGATATGTAGTATGTGATACCTTATTAATCATCCAAGTAGTCATTAGATGGATGCCAGAGCTGTACTGACACAAGGAGGTTCAGCTCTAATTGATTTGGTCTCAGAGGAGTGGGAATATAATCATTCAAAACCAAATATTTATCAGGCATTTTTTATGTGTCAACCATAGTACTAGGAGCTGGAATATAATGTTAAGAAGATGGATATGAGCCCTGCTCTCAAGATACGTAATGGTATATAGTTTGTGTTATCAGTGATTAAGTTATATAGCACTTACAAACATGGAATTGTGGAAAAAGGAATACTCCATCCATTATCACATTGTTACAACTCTACCTAGAAGTTTTATTCAATCGGCCGTCCTCTTGAGGGGAGTTTGGTTTTTATTCATGCACTGGCCTTCTGAAAGTTCTATGATGGCAGACTATTATAAATAACTCTTTTTCTACTTACATCCTTATTGGTATTTAATGTCCACTGTTCTTTTTTCATCTTACTGATAAAATCCCAGTGTTGAGTTGTATTGGGTGGGTATTGCTATCCAGTTGCACACAGATGTAAATGGTTAGTGTTGATGTTTTCTGAGCCAAACGGTCATACCTGAAAGGTGAATTAATGACTAAGCTTTTTTCTTCTGTGTTTCAGTGTTGTGTACTTTTGCTACTAATGTTTTAAAACCTGGCATTTTTTTTTTCCTTTTTGTCTTTTTTCGTGACCGGCAACGGATCGCAACCCTCAGTGTCACGCCCATACCGGACCGGGACCGGCAACGGGATCGCAACCCTCAACGTCACGCCCATACCGGACCGGGACCGGCAACGGGATCGCAACCCTCAACGTCACGCCCATACCGGACCGGGACCGGCAACGGGATCGCAACCCTCAACGTCACGCCCATACCGGACCGGGACCGGCAACGGGATCGCAACCCTCAACGTCACGCCCATACCGGACCGGGACCGGCAACGGGATCGCAACCCTCGGCGTCGCGCCCACCCCTCGCTCAGCCAGTGAGCGGCCGGTCTGTACGTGGGATCCGAACCCTCGGCACTGCTACAGTGCGCCACCGGGCCGGCCCCATAAAACCTGGCATTTTTTTCTTAATAAATCTGCATGGGGTTTTTGAAGGGCCTACTCAGGCACTGAGTAAAGTAAATACGTTTCTAATAACACAGCTACCCAGACAAAGATGAGAAGTTTTTGGTTTCTTCTCCTTTTTCTTTTTTCTTTTCTTTTAGTGTTTTAGGTCTTTGGGATACATTTGAGGAAGTATTATACCTGCCTTTTTTCCCATTATGGAAGACTGCTGTGCTGAACATTGGTGCTTGATACTCAATCACAGCATCTTTCCTTTGAGTCAAAGGAGAGCAAATAGCCCTCTGTTCAGGGAACCGGGTAGCACTAACCGCTCTTCACTCTCAAATAGTAAAAGTAATTTAAGCTACCAGAGACCCAGCACTGCTTAGTAGTATCCCCTGCAGAACAAAGCAGTTAAAGCAAAATTTCGTGTGGTTTTCTTTCATGATCTGAGCTCCTTCCGAGAAATATAGAGAGAGTTATGCAGAAATTTCAAAACTGTTTCATTGACAGTGTTCTAGCAGAGGTCTTCATCAAATAACAACTGCGAAGTCACGTCTAGCAGTATTAGAAATGCTATGATTCAGGTTATGGCATGGCAGCTCACTTCTTAGTATTTTTACGTTCAGAATAATCTTTGAAAATGTGAAGTTTGAAAAAAGAAATAAAAATAGATAAGGTGGATATTTATATATTTTTTAAGATAGGCAAACTTTGTATGAAAATTAAATGTGGCAACTCCCATCCTAAAACAAAAATTAATATGTATAATCTACATAGTTGAAAAGGTGTCAGTTAGAAACATATCTTTTTGTTGTCAACTCAGAATTTTCCTATGCACGTGTTTATACCTTTACTACTTATACATATATCCATAAAAATCAACCTTATTGATTTGTGTCTTTTAAAATTTTACATGAATGGTATCACACTGTGTACATCCTTTTGCTGCTTGCTTTTTAAAAAAAATCTAATACTAAATTTCTGTGTAGTATTCATGTTTGTAACTGTAAATCAAATATACTGATTTCCACCATTCTTTAGAATATCATTGCATAAATTAACCTTTATTTATTTATTCATTACTGTGCTGATGGAAGTTAGGTATTTAGGGCTTTTCCAGAAACCTAAAGCAAAAAGAGGAATTGACAATGATAGACAATTTCTCAACTCTGCTTCCACATTTTGGCACACTGATGTATTGGATCACTGTAAATTCTAAAGCCTCACAGAAGTTGTTTGGGTGGAGGCAGACTACCATAGGGTGGAAATAGAACTTCAAATCTTAGAACAAGGAAAGAAATGAAATAGTGGACAGACCAAGGAACATGGCAAATATGGAGCTCACAAGACTATTTTAACAGAGCTGAAAAATGTAGTTTCAGTACAGTTTTCATGAACTTTTTATCCTCTCTTAGCTTTTCTATCTGATTTATGCTGCTATTTGGTATAGTAATTCTGAATACTTATTTTCTGTCTATGTATAACAGGCTCTATTCATGCAAAACCCTTCAAGGATCAAAATTCTTGATCTTGTTAAGCTATTTGATATGAATATAAATCCAATGAATGTCCTCATTCTTTTAGATTATCTCACTAAATAAATCGTGCACACATGTGGCTATCCATCAGACTTAACTGAGGATCTTTATAAAAATATGTACTTTTAAAACTAAACCTCGGAAATTATGATAAAATATTTATAGGACAATGGAATTGTATTTTTTATAAAAAAAATCTTAGGTGATTCAAAAATCAATTGAGACATCAAATAGAGTATTCTGTAGCAGGAGTTGTCTGAAAATTAGTCTAAGAAAGTGATACAGTAAAAAAAAAAATGAACTTTTCCCTTGAAATGTTTGGCCAGTGTTACATTGATCTGCTTCAACTATTTATATCCAGAAAATATATGTAGCTAAGAAAGGAACAAACATTATTGACATCTCTAAATGTCAAACTGATGAGCACCTTAGAGAAAAGATAAGGTACTTTATCTATGTAATAGGAAACCCAATTAATTAAGTTATTTTATTCATCGTAGGCATGGAGGATATTTTGTGCATTATTAAAATCATGCTTCCTCAATCCAGGCCCTTATAAAACTTTATAATTGGTTATTCATATTTGCAACTTATGACTTTTTTGTTGTGTTTCCAGCACAGTGATGCAGTCCATGACCTGCTTCTGGATGTGATCACATGGGTTGGAATTTTGCTGTCCCTTGTTTGTCTCCTGATTTGCATCTTCACATTTTGCTTTTTCCGTGGGCTCCAGAGTGACCGTAACACCATCCACAAGAACCTCTGCATCAGCCTTTTTGTAGCAGAGCTGCTCTTCCTGATTGGGATCAACCGGACTGACCAACCAGTAAGCATCTTGCATTGACATTAGAAAGGAATCTTTTCACTTCCAGCTTTCCAGTTCTGCTAATAGTGGGAGTATTCACGTTCGAAAGTATCTTCTCTTCCAGTTGTCTAAGATAGATACTAATCAGATCTTACTCAGTTTTTTGGGTTTCAAGTTCCATTGTCATAAAGAAGCAATGAATGTTATGAATGAGGTGTACAGTTTTGTTTTTGTTTGTTTTTAATAAACTTTATTTGTTAAAAACTTTGTTAAAGCAGTTTTTGGTTTAGAGAAAAATTGGTAGAAAAGTTCAGAGATTTCACAAATAACCTCTGCCCCTACACATGCCTAGCCATCATCAACATCCCCCACCAGAGTTATATGTTTGTTACAATTGATGAACCTACACTGACACATTGTTATTACCAGTACCCACGGTTTACATTAGGGTTCACTCCAGGTGTTGTACATTCTATGGGTTTGAACAAATGTATAATGGTATATATCTATCCTTATAGTATCATACAGAATATTTTCTCTCCCCTGAAAATCTGTGCTTTGCCTATTCCTCCTCCTTTCCCCTAACCCATAGCAACCACTGCTTTTTTGTTTGGTTTGGTTTACTGTCTCTATGGTATTGCCTTTTTCAGAATGTCATGTAGTTGGAATCATACAGTATATGTAGCTTTTCCAGAATAGCTTCTTTCACATAGTTATATATATATATTTGTTTCCTCCATGTCTTTTCATAGTTTGATAACTCATTTCTTTTTAGCACTGAAAAGTATACCATTATTTGGATGTACCACAGTTTATTTATTCATTCACCCACTGAAGGCTATCTTGGCTACTTTCCAGTTTTGGCAATGATGAATAAGGCTGCTATAAACATCCATGTGAGATTTTTGTTTGGACAAAAGTTTTCAGTCCCTTTGGGTAAATACCAAGAAGCATGATTGCTGGATTGTATGGTAAGAGTATGTTTAGTTTTGTAGGAAACACCAAGCTGTCTTCCAAAGTGGTTGTACCATTTTACCTTCCCACCAGCAATAAACAAGATATATGTTTCTTTAGAAATTATTTCAGATTTGTTTTTTTAAAGAATTGCAAATCATCATGATTTTTTTCTTTACTTTTTGAATTACAGAGCTGAATATTGAGGAAAGTTTAATAAAATATTTGGAGGAATGGAGAAATGTCTTTTCTAACAGATATAATTACTATTTTTTGAAGTTTATAATATACCTTAAAGAAACAGTGGATATTATATTAAAGACTGCATGTCAAAAAGTGTTTTTCTAACTGACATATTTTGAGAAATAGTACAAACTGCAGGTCATTTTTAGAATTAATAAACTCTTCACAAATTTTGATTGGCACTTTGTATTTGCTTGAATTCTGTTCACATCTTTAAGTGCCAACTTTATACTTTACTGCAACCTATATTGAATCATATCAAGGAAAGGAGGAAGAGAGGAACTGAAAGAAACAAAAAAAAGCAATAGCAGTAGCCAACTCTTCTTGCTAAAACCAAATGAAAATATAAGTACTAGATAATATGTAATCTATTAAACAGACTTTATGGCCACTTATTTTTATGAGGCCCTTTCTATTTACTTACAATTCATGCATATGGTTTAAGTTTGTTCTCATGACTAAAACTTCAAATGAAAAGAAAACTTTCATTTTTTAGAAGGCTTGTAAGCATAATAAATAATTCATTCACTAATGCTGTTCTCTGGTATGTGTCCATATGTATGGAATACTTTATAGTAAAAACGCAATTGGATTCATGTTCATGATTACATATTCATGATTAATGACTATAAAGGATACAATTATGGTGATTATATTTTTAATTGGCTATCATATAATGTGACAGCTTTTTCCATAAAGGCATGCATATGAATAAGCAATCAAAGTGCACATTTATTTCCCGCAAAAAGTAAAGCCTTATAATAACAAAAATTAATAGCCGAAATTTTGACTCTAAAAAGCAAGAAATGGAAATTTGTGTTATTCTCTAAGAGGATAGCATTTTATTCTCTCCTTAACCTGCAATTCAAATACTGTATGATTTCTTTTCATTTAGAAAACTTATTTTTGTTTCCTAGTGTTACCTATATAGTATGATAGACTTCCCCAAACATGGCATACTGTACAAAACCAACTTCTGATAAGTAACTTAAAGAATGATGACTGACTTGCAAAATGTGGGTAGAGTGCAGCTCAGCCCCACTTGTCTTAACTCTTGTTGCTAGTGTCCTCTTTTGCATCCCACATAGCGTTTCCTGAAATCCCATTGATTTCTATCTAATCCCTCAGACATTTGACTTCCTCATCTCTCCTTCATTGTCATCTCTCTAACCCAGTGAAATTGACCTGCCCTTTGTCTCATTTCTTAAAGGTCATACTCATCAATGAATCCATACCTATAAGTTTGTTGACCTTTTCTAGTACAAGCTATAGATTTTAGTCAGAACTTCTTGTAAAAAAAGGAAGAATCCAATATGAGAATTTTAAGACCTGATGTAAGAATAGGAAATTAATAGATGGTCAGCTGAAACTTGTAGTACCTTAGAAAACATATAAAAATAGGGTTGGCTGCCATTTTTGACCAAGCTTGTCCAGACCGATATTTAGAACAATAAAAACCAGAGAAATAAAGCACTTCTGGAACACTTTATTTTAACCAGATCCATTTTAATATGTGTGCAGCATGAACTTTCCAATGCCACCTAAAATTCTTTCTGAAACAAGGTAGATAAGAAATAAACAAGCAATTAATAATTAATTAATAATCTCATTATAAAAGACTGCAATTAATTATACTATTTAATATTAGGAACTTTTACTCCCCTTGGTTTTAATGTTTATCTTTCATTGACAATTAAATAACTTACTATTTTAGTACATGCATGATTATGAATAGGAGAAAAAAATTCCTGAGGTCTATTTTTACATCTTTAGACTAATCTCAGTGGTAATCAATAGACTCTTATTAGAATTTTTTCCTAAATCTTATAATTTTTGCTTATTGTAATGCTATGCTGTCAACCATAAGCTATTATTAATGTTAAATACAATTTTCAAAGATAGGTCGTTTTTAATTAGTTTTTCATATCTATATTTTAGGACTCTCATCTAGATTATCGTTTTGTAGACCTATTTTATTACGGCAGTCTTGATAAATTTTTATTTTAATTTTATGACAGTTGACAGATATTCCATGTGGTAGTTATTTGACTGAGTCATTTGTTTCTTTTCCTAGATTGCCTGTGCTGTTTTTGCTGCCCTCTTACATTTCTTCTTTTTGGCTGCCTTCACCTGGATGTTCCTGGAGGGAGTGCAGCTCTATATCATGCTGGTGGAGGTTTTTGAGAGTGAACATTCACGAAGAAAATACTTTTATCTGGTTGGCTATGGGATGCCTGCACTCATTGTGGCTGTGTCTGCTGCAGTAGACTACAGGAGTTATGGAACAGATAAAGTGTAAGTTTGTTTCTTTTCTTCTTTTCATTCTTTTTAAATCTATTTGAAATAAAAGCTTTGGAGTTTCTTGGAAGTTTTTATATTACTTCACAGCAATAAATGAAGAAACTGGAGAAGCAAATGCATATAATTCAATCCATGATTATACCTTTATTATGAAGTAAACAGAAAAAAACATGCTTGAGACTCAGTCTGATGCTATTTTGAGACAAAATAATGTTTCCACATCTACATCAAAACCTTGAGTAATTATAAACAGGTGATAATTTTAATATTTTTCCAAGTATTGAGGCATTTGTCAAATGAAGAAATAGATGTATTAAAGTTGCATATTATCAGAGGACAGGTGTCTTCCAAGATATTGGCAGCTTCTCTTCATCCTGACATGTCAGTTCTAGTCACTGGGAAGTCGATAGGAGCAGGGGCAGTTGCTGTCTTTCCTTTTCTTTTTTTTCTTTTTCTTTTTTTCTCCTAGATTGGTGTTGAGGTATGGTGATGGATTTTATTTTCAACATAACTTTAAATTTTTAATACATACATATATAGATATCCAGCATATTGGAAAGGAGTTTAGTTAAATTTTTTTTAACTTATTTAAATATAACAGTTGAGAACCTGAGAATGAATAAAAGTTTGAATAGAAGAAGATTAGAAAGAAGACCGTGATAGATCTCTGATATATGCCCACATTTAGGACATAGACCGAGGAGAGAAAATGAAAGTAGAAAAAGAAAAGAGGTAAGCAGAGCCTCAGAAAGAGAACCATAAGATTCAGGGTCAAGGAAAGGAAGAAGAAAGTTTGAAGGCGGTGTTTCAAGATATTATCAGTGAAATTTTATGTCAAAGATAATTCAAGTAGGATAAGCACTGAGGAAAAAAATCATTTGACCTTTGTAACAGCTGTTTTGATAGGGTTCTGGAAGCTGAAGCCAAATTGGAAGATATCAAGAGGTAAGTTAGCAGTAAGAAAGTAGTGTCTTCAGGTTTTATTTGTACCCTGAAGTAATTTGATTGACAGTAGTGAAAATATTAACTCATGTGATAACAATAATGAAGGAGGATTTTAAAAGATGAAGTCTTAAGCATGTCCAGCATGAGAAGAATGAAGTTTGTAGGAGGAGGTTAATGAAAACAAAAATACCTTATGCCTCTTTTCTATTGTATATAAATGAGCTGAAAGAAAAGGAAAGGTCCTAGGGGGGAAGAAAGACATAAGAATAAACACAAGGTTAGGAAAACCTTGATTTAGTACTGAAAGTAGCCTTAGAATTCACCAAGTCCGTAGCATTAATTTTACAGGTGAGAAAATCAAGGACCCTGTAAATTAATTGCCTTGTCCATGGTTATAGAGCTAGACTGTGGCAGATGTGTGATAAACCAAGCCAAGTTTATTTCAAATAAATTAGGACTTTTGTTTAAATGGGAAAATGATCTTTCTGTCTTGATGCGAATATGAAGGAAAGAACAGGGAAGGTAAATTTTGAAACAGAGAAACTTTTCCATCAAGTAGAAGATGCTGATTTCTGTTGAGTGAATAGTTGAGGTCATGTTAAGCAGACCAGAGATTCGAAAAGCTTTGAAATGAGCACTATGGAAAATGTGTTAAGGAGCCAATTAGACACTAATAAAAAGATATCCAAGCAGCAGTGAAGGCTCAGATGATGTTAGATAAGATCAATTTGTACAGAAGTTAATAAGCCAAATTTCATGACTTTTTCTACCAGCAATCAGCAGTCTGAACATGCTGGCAGTAAAGCAGCTTGCTTCCCAGAAGGGAGGATTCCTAAGGAGGGAGCAACAAGAAGATGCCAGAGTTATTGGGAGCATAGTTAAAATAGCATATGTGTTGGTGCCTAGGCACCAATGATACAATTAAAAGACTGTCTAATTTCTGTTGAGTTTTTTTCTTGAGTACTATGATAGGCTACATAAAAGCCATTTGTCTATGTAACTAATAGCAATTATTTTTTAATCTAATCTTTGTGAATTGTAGTCAAATCTGATTTTAATCTGTGGATCTCAGTGACAACTGCAGAACAAACCTGAATAGAAAAAAAAAAATTATCTGAGGTTGCCCCTAAAGACATCTTAGGGGAGAGGCATTAGATTGAGCATAGGGTTGTTTTGTTTGTTTTGTGTTTTGTTTTTTTAAATAACACCTTCACTGACATATTTCATATACTATAAAAATCATTCTTTTAAAGTAAACATTTTAATTATTTTTAGTATGTTTACAGTGTTGCACACTCATCACCACTAATTTTAGAATTTTTTTATCAACCTAAAAAGAAACCCATTAGCAGCCATTACCTCTAGATCATAAGATTTTACATTTTGATTAATGCATTTTTCTCATAAGAAATTTAGTTGAGTAATATAGTTATTTGTGACTTTACATTTCAAATTTCATTCTTAGGTAGTTGAATTTTGTTCTCCTGAAGTTCCTGATTTGCTTTTGTTTTGTTTTATGTGGACTTTTTTCTCCTTTGGTATTTGCAAATTTTCCTGTTACTGAACTGATGCAATTTGTTTGCTTTGCATTTTAGTCATTTGTTTTGAGACAGGTGTCATTTTCTGGATAGTAGAAGTGTGTCTTTTCTTAAAATCAATAGTATGTAGTCTCCTGTGACTTTGTTAAAGCTTTGGCCATCATTGCTTTAATTTCCTGCACCATAACTGGAAGCTCTCATTTACTGACGTTATTACCGTGTGGGAACAGAGCCTAATTTATTTCCCAGGCACTGATTTAAAACAAGCCTTAATAACAGTTCAGTTTTGCAATTACGATTTTTCCCATCACAAAGCATAACATAACATATCAAGAAAATGGAGGTTAGATGAAAGAGAGTGAGAAAAGGACAGGGAAATTGTCATGAAAATTCTACCATAGGCAGGCATAGAGTATTTTACTATCTCCTTTGCACATTTTAAATAAGTCTTCCACAGAATACATGGAAAAAATGGTAAACTTCTACCCTTTGGGAATTCATCCACCCCAATATCTACACATTGCTGTTTTACCCATTAAAGAAGCAGGTGTTGAAAAGAGAACCATGATTTAGCCATTGGTGTTTGAGAAGCTGAAATGAACAGATCATTTTTCCATCGGGGCTTTTTTTTTTTTTTTTTCCTTTTTTTGTCTTTTTTTTCATGACCGGCAACAGATCGCAACCCTCAGTGTTGCACCCGCACCTCACTCAGCCAGTGAGCAGCCGGTCTGTATGTGGGATCTGAACCCTCGGCGGGAGCGCCACCACACTTCCCAAGCGGTGCACTGTAGCAGTGCGCCACCGGGCCGGCCCCAACGGGGCTTTTAATCAAGACATCATCTCAAAGGAAAATATAAGCAATGGATTTTTACACAACTTGGAGGATTTCTGCATATAGAATTACAGATCTTGTTCTTTATTATCAAATCTGTTTTTGTTGTTACAGTTTCTGTTATTTGTTGCTTTTATTTTGTTTCATATGGCATTTCCCACTCCCAGCTCATCATGTGACTCTTTTTCATGTGACTCTGCTGTCTCATTGTTTGGTTTTTTGCTAATGTTACCTTCCTATATACTATATCGATTTTTTAAAAAAATACAAATATATATAGTCTACAATCTAAAATAAACTGGAATTAGCCAGAATTCAGAGAAATGTTGTCAACTATTTTATTAAGCTCAATATAGTAAATTTTTATTTCCTGGAGTCTTTTTCCACTAATTTTTAAAACTTCATGATTCTTAAATTTTTACTCCTCAGTCTCACCCACTTAGAGTTGACATGAGATTATCAAGTAGAATAAAACCACTGAATGTATACTATAGTAATCCAAATAATAGACATTTTCCTTTTTTCTCCTCTTAATGTATTTATTTTACTGTACTGACAATGAGGTTTTATTTCTAAAACCTTTAATAATAATAATAATAATAATAGCTTACATTTATAAAAAGTAGAGAATCATATCAATTGTAGAAAATAAAATTAGAGATAAAATTGTTTTCATAAGTTAAGCAAATGTTATTTTGATACAGATAGAAGTAATTCCATCTGGCTGATGGATTATGATGTGTTTTTCTACGAAATGTTATTAGGGCTGTTGAATTTATTACTGTGTACAAAACACATACTCACACACAAGGCCTACTCAATTTGATTTTGAGAAGTTGCTTAGTTTGCCATCAATTTGTAATGCTTGTAAGAGAGTCATTATTTTCTGATGTTTGTTTAGTGAAATCTTTTTATCTTTAGTGACATTATACTCAATAATGTACTTAAATAACATTTCGTCACAATTGTGAGACATTTATAAAATCCATTTAAAAGACTAATCATCCTTTTGTTTGTTTGTTTTTGTAAATAACCCTCTAGTAGTAGAACACAGGTCTAAATTACGCAGTTAATAATGGGCATTTCTTTCCATTTTATCTCTGTTTTTGTATCTTCCGTTTGTCTCAGATTCAGTGAAGCCATCCAATATGATATTGTTAGAAGGTAATGATAGCAAAGGCTGGCACTGACTTAACAATTCAGATGGACTGATTTGAAAATTTAGTGCTAAATACTTTGGTTTTATGACCTGGATCTAATCAGTTCATTTAAACTTTAATTATCTCAATATTACCAAAAACTGAAAACTGAACAGTTAATTTTTATTTAAGAAAAAAAAATTACATTAATAATATATGACACTTTTCTCACAATTTCATGTCAACTGAAAAAGCAGTGGTTACCATCATTAGTGCATTGGAAGAAGTTTTAGATGTGGTTACCAGGAGGAGGGAGGGCACTAAGAAGGGATAAAGCCCAGAGATTAGTCTAAGAGATAAAATCTGGGATAGAAAATAGATAAGGGGTTTCTAAAAGATGTGGATGAAGTTTTGAACATTTATAATGGATTAGAACATCTTTGAGTACTAGAAGAATAGCCAAGCTCTTAAAAATAATTGAAATCAAAGCTTATGATCTAAAAATTGTTATAAATCATTTATTAAATCTTACGTTTGTCT